TACAACTTAAAGTATAATAATAATAAATAAATTTAAAAAAATAAAAAATAAAAAAAAAATTCTATTTTAAAACTAATATTATTTTTTTTTAGTTTTGTTTAAATTAGCATTTTATGATGTTTATTTGTCTATTAACGGATTATATAATTCACTTTTTATAAATATGGTATTGATTACCATAAATTTTACAATAAGAATTGTATATAATAAGATTATAACGTAAATACTGTGATGGCCTTGATCTGAAGTACGGAGATAGTGTAACTGTGTACTTTGAATTCCTCCTTCCAACCGGTCTTTCTTACTGTCAGTTTGCACTTATATATTCTATAAAATATAATACGTAATTTTGCATCACTTTATACTCATACATTATAACAATTACAAAGATAAAAATTACAATTCATCTTGATGCTCCCTTTTTTTTACAATCTTAATTTCTTTGTATAGATCTATGTTTTTAGTGCATATCACATGGTTATTAGCAGAGAAACTTTGTAAAATGTGCCCTGAAATATGAATGTGTTGACAAATTGTGTCAAGGTCTTTTTTTTAAATAACATAATTTTACTTGCCTTTCACTTTTAATGAAATTGTAATGTATGTAGAATTCCAGTTTGCATTTCCCGTGTTACTTATTTTCTTGTATTTATTTTCTTCCTGGAGACAATCACATATTACATTCTGCTGGGCCTTCATTAACCACATTTCTGTGAATCCAGTCAGGGCTGGGTTTCAAGTGTATGGTTACCCCAGCTATCAGAGTTGAAGTCAGCTTCTACTGTTCACAAAAACTTCAGATTCCTCTGGTGATACCTGCTTTTGTTTCCCTGTTTTGCTTTGGGTTTTCACATGTCATTCTTCCCAGAGAGAGCCTGTCTCTTTTAGTTGTGGCAGATGCATCCTGCTGACACATTTACTTGGTGATTGTTTGTGTGATGAAGGGGCTTGGACACAGGGGCACGTTCTCCAACCTTCTGACCTAGTCTCCTTCTTAGCTATGGGTGGTGAGACTGGCTCTGAAGCGTGGTCTTCCAAGCGTTCCTGTTCCTTCCCTTCCCCAGTGTCAGAGTGTCTCTTCCCAGTTGCAGTGGTTTTTCGTCAGTGTCCTCAGCTTCTGACCCACTGTCCTTGCCCCACAGATTCAGGATTTCATTCTGCAGGAAAGAGATGGGAGGTGTTTCTGGGTAGAGTTTCCTTGGTGTCCTCTGCTTCCTTGTGTTCTAGTTGATTCTACCAGTGCCCACAGGACACAAGATTTAATAAATGTCTCCCACATATAGTGAAGGGGGATTCAACATTGAATGGAGCTGCTGTTCTTCCTTCCCAGTCCACACCACAGGACAGCAGGTGGGTGAGTTGTCTGGGGATTTCCCCAATTCTGTAGGAAAAGCCTGCAAGTGCCGGGAGTTTCACACTCACACACCATTAGCACGCACGTCCTCAAAACTCATGAACCTTTTCCAGGTTAGCTTTTTCCTTCTTCAATATGATGCTGTGAGTGGCACCTGCCCCAGTTACTCTAATAAGTGGACCCTAGTTCTCTCTGCAGGCCCCGATTTTCTCAGAATACAGGGATTTTTTTTCTCTGTAACATCAACTCAGATATGTTGAAGGGTTTATTTTTTGTAGTCGTTCAAGTTTTTTGTTAATGAGGTCAGAATAAGATCATCGTTTTCTCATTTTTTCCATCCCCATGCTTAGTATCTGCTTTCTAAACAAAATTCAGAAGCTAAGACAACAAATCAAATACCCATTACTTGGTGCATTGTTAAACAATTTGAGAAATATTCATGTCTGAAATACAACGAACCATTGAAATCAAGGCATGCCTCCTTCACATAAGAACATGGGGACATTATCAAATAATTGTGCTGATTGAAGGAAGCTAAAGAATTCACAGGAAATTTCATGTTACATAATTTGTATAAAAATTAACACGGAGATCTAAATTTTTCTGAGAATAGAGTGGTGAGAATAACAAGGTGGTCAAATAAAATTACAGAGAAGTGAAAGAAAAAATAAGAGGGCTAATTCAATTGCTAACAACATGATTGAAGTGCGGATTCAATGACTGCACACATATATCAACATTTTCCAAATGCTGCACTGTCAATTTGATTTCATTATTGATGGATGTTTTGAATAAAGCAGCAACAAAAATGAATATATTTGCTGAGAAATAACAAGAAAGAGATGAATATTGACACTTGAATTATCACGGACTCCTGAAAATACACACATGTGAACACTGCATATTTCAGGAAAACACTAGAAAAAGCAAAATTACATAAAGTTATTATGACAGGTGGGACATACCGAAAACCACTCTAGACATATCCCACACTGCCCTGGAGTTGTCTCATAGGAGCAGTCTCCTCCAGTGTTTGGAGGCACAGACAGAGATAATAGGGCTAACTCTGGCCAGATGTGTGTTATCGGACACATTGCACAACTGCTCTGTTCTGTGTGTAATTTATCTTCTCTAAAAATGTAACACTGACACTTGCATTAAATATATTCTGCAAATATGTAACAAATAAATAAGCTGATGTGTGCTAAATGATTATCAAGGCACAATCACATAATCTGAAGCTATATTTTCCAGAGAGGTAGGATTAGCCCCAGTGTTTTCCAGGACACTCTCATCTGCTCTGGGCACTGCCTTCTCCTCAGTTGTCCCACCCCTGAGCTTGCTATATAGCAGGAGACATGCAAATAGGGCCCTCCCCCTACTGATAAAAACCAGGCCAGCTCTGACCCTGCAGCTCTGAGAGAGGAGCCTAGCCCCAGAATTCCCAGGTGTTTTCATTCAGTGATCAGCACCGAACACAGAGGAATCACCATGGACTTTGTGCTGAGATGGGTTTTGCTTGTTGCTATTTTGAAAGGTGATTTATGGAAAATGAGAGATGTTGAGTGTGAGGGGACATGAGTGAAACAGTGGATCTGTGTGGCAGTTTCTGACCAGGGTGTCTCTGTGTTTGCAGGTGTCCGGTGTGAGGTGCTGCTGGTGGAGTATGGGGGAGGCTTGGCAAAGCCTGGGGGGGTCCCTGAGACTCTCCTGTGCAGGCTCTCGATTCACCTTCAGTAGCTACTACATGAACTGTGTCCACCAGGCTCCAGGGAATGGGCTGGAGTGGGTTGGACAAGTTAATCCTAATGGGGGTAGTACATATCTCACAGACTCCGGAAGGGCCGATTCACCATCTCCAGAGAAAATGCCAAGAACACGCTTCATCTGCAAATGAACAGCCTGAAAACTGAGGACACGGCCTTGTATTGTACCAGAGACACAGTGAGGGGAGTACAATGTGAGCCCAGACACAAACGTCCCTGCAGGGCCATGCAGGGAGGTTTCCTTTCTCAGCTGCAAGAGGCAGGCTTGTTTTTGCAGGACTCTGGAGTCTTATTAGGTTGCGATATTTTACTATGGTTATTTGCCATGAATTTTTTTATTGAGAATTGTGTTTTAGTATTTTTTAAATTTATATGTAAGGGTATTTTTTAAAAATACATACCTTCAAGGAATAATTCTTCCTAATAATTTGCACTTGTTCTTTTAGAATTCTGTTAACATCTGTTGATATCAGCTATTACGTAGCTACAGGGACATTAATTTATACCTATAGACATATGTGTAAATACACAAAGTTATGCATACATGTGTAGTCTTTATATTTATTATAATAAAATAATAAAAAAATATATAAAATAATTATAAAATATGTCCCAAAGAATGAAGGTCAATGATTAACTTAATATAAATTATAGTAATCCATAACTCCTTTTGATCATTCTCTATAGTTTACATAAATTGATGTCTATTTGTAAGCTTAAACATAGTGTATTGGTAATTTTAAAATAGCCAAGAACAAATTTCAAATGTCCCTGTCACACACACACACAGAAATAAGGATTTGAGACGATATATATGTCAACGAGCTCGATTCAATTATTCTGATTTGCATTCATAAATCATGACATAGCTTTATTCCCTATAAATATATACAATCAAAATGTCTCAATTTTCAATGAAGTTTTGACTACATATTTTTTAATCTGTCCTAGGTCATTAATGTTTTCTCCCAGTCAGGATGTGATTAGATTATCCTGAGAAACTCATTTACCCTCCTGCCTCCTGAAGGCTTCAGGAAGCAGCTCCTAGATGGGCAGAAGCCGGCAAACGTGTGTGTCCACACAGGAACTAGAGCCTCTCTCGCGGATTAGGTCTCCTCCTCACGATTACAGGGCTCTTCAGTTTTCTTAACCAGGCTGTTGTACTAGATAAGCACAAAACAATTTCATTATGCTTTGCTTCAATTTTTCAAAACATCATACAGGTAGTAATTTTAACAATAAACATATTACAAACTACTTACACATGAGACCTTCCTGTGCTTCAAGGTTTTTTCTCAGGACTTTGTATTACATATTTTCAATTTTTTTTCTGAGATGGAATTCTGACGTCTCCTTATTACAGATTATTCTTTTAATTTAATTCTTAGAATGATTCTTTCCAGAGTCCCCGCCCAGCCCGCTTGGCGGAATGGGGCGGCACCAGGGCTGAGCCAGGCGCGCAGGGGCCGCCACATGTGCTGCGCAGGGAGCGGACGCACAACGGGCGGAGAGCGAGCACCAGAGGCCTGGTCGGAGAGCTGCCTGAGCAGCGCCAGAGATGGGAGAACAACCCATCTTCACCTCCCAGGGCAGGTCTTCCAGACTGACCCAAACACCAAGAACTGGATGCCTGCGAGCAATAGGTGTTCACCGTTTCCTGCTTCTATGATGTCACAAGGAACAGCTTTCGGATGGTTAGTATGGACGGAGCCAAGGTGACCATAAAGAGCACAATCGCACCAAATATGACCTTCACCAACAACTCACAGACGTCTGGGCAGTGGGCCCACAGCAGAGCCAACACGACGTTTCGTTTGGGGATTTCCACTGAGTAGCCGCTGACAAAGTTTGCAGAGAAATTCCGGGAGGTGGAAGAAGCTGCCAAGATAGAAAAAAACAAGACCCAGGAGAACATGGAGCCCTCGAGTGATCATCCCCGAGAACCTGGGCATGGAGCCTCATCTTCTACTCCGGCATCCAGTGTCAACGGGTCGGACGATGGAAAGGCCTCTCACGCCGCTGCAGCCGACAGGTACCTGCAGTCTGGGAACCACAAGCTGAAGGCGGCCTGGACGCAGGGCGCTGCCCACGGGAAGAGGCGGGAGATGGAGCTGCAGGCCCGGCAGGAGAGCGACGCCCGGTTGCCCACGGCGCTGCAGGAGTCTGCGGCCAGCGCGGAGCAGAGGAAGAGGCCGTGAGACCCACAGAGAGAAGGAGAAGAACACGCAGCTGAGGAGGAGGATGGAGGAGCTGGAGGCCGAGCTCCGAGAACAGGAGGCAGAGCTGGAAGATCTCCGGAAACAAAGTGAACTCACACCTCAGCTCACGTCAGAGCGCGACGGTGTCTCTGAGAAGATGGAGGCGGCAGAGAGACGATCAAAACCAGGAAGACAAAGCGCGTTCCCTAAAGACAGACGCTGAGGAGAGCAAATCCCGACAGCGCCCCCTGGAGGTGGAGGTGAAGAGCTTCCTGGAGGTGCTGGACAGGAAGATCCAGGACCTGCATGACTTCTGCCCAGGCCTCTCCAAGCTGGGCACTGACAACTAGGACTGTCCGAGGCCGGGGTCCCCCACCATGAGTTCCAAGCGTGTGTGTGAGACCAGATGGCGCTAGGACGTTCCCTGTGTGCGTTGCCTCTGTAAATGCAGGCGCAGTTTGTCGCGTCTCCAAACCAGTTGTGCCGTCCACTCACTCCTTTCCAGAATAGAAATCTCCTCTCACTTCTCTGGCCTTGTGAGGGTGTGGACAACTGGAAGATTCTGACTCAAGAATCCAGAACTATGTCTACCTTCAACATTTACACAGTCAGGCCAGGGATGTTTATATCTTTCATAAGGGCGGATGCAACCATATGAACTGAAAAAAAGCACTTTGTCGTATACACAAAGTTCTAAAAATAATTGTTTTAATTATTATAGAAAAAGAAAATTAGGCCAAGCTTGTTTCCTCTTAGAGCAATATATAACAAGAAAATCTAGCTATACATATATATTTTATACATATATAATATATAAATATATGTGTATATAGAAAATATTATATATGCATATGCAAACATATTATTTATTTATTAATTCTCTTAACTTTTCTTTTAAGTTCAGGGGTATATGTGTCGGATGTACAGGTTTGTTACATAGATAAATTGTGTCATGGAGGTTTGTTGTACAGATTATTTCATCACCCAGTGAAATGGTTCAGCTGTGTCTCCACCCAAATCTCAACTTGAATTCCCACGTGTAGTGGGAGGAACCTGATGGAGGTAATTGAATCAAGGGGGCAGTCCTTTCCCATGCTGTTCTCATGATAGTTAATAAGTCTCATGAGATGTGCTGGTTTTGTAACAAGGAGTTTCTCTGCACAAGTTCTCTCTTTGCCTGCTGCTATCCATATAAGATGTGACTTAGTCCTACTTCCCTTATGCCATGAATGTAAGGCCTCCGTAGCCATGTGGAACTGTGAGTCCAATAAACCTTTCGACTGTATAAATTATCCTGTCTCAGATAGGTCTTCATTAGCAAAGTGAGAAAAGACTAATACAGTAATTGGTACCAGTAGATGACTCACTGCTGTAGATACCTGAAAATGTGAAAGTGGCTTGGAGACTGGTTCACAGACAGGGGTTGAAATAGTTTGGAGTGCTCAGAAGAAGACAGAATAGGTAGTAAAGTTTGGAAAGACTTGGTGAATGGCTTTGCCCAAGATGCTGATAGGGATATAAACAATTAAGTCCAGGCTGGGATGGTCTCAGTTGGGGATGAGGAAATTATTGGGAACTGGAGCAAAGATGACTCTTATGTATGAGCAAAAAGACTGGTAGCAGTTTGCCCCTGCCCTAGAGATTTGTGGAAATTTAAACTTGAAAGCGATGATTTAGGGTATCTGGTGGAAGAAATTTCTAAGCAGCAAAGCATTCCTGAGGTGACTTGGGTGCTGTTAAAGGCATTCAGTTTTATAAGGAAAGCAGACCATAAAAACTTGAAAAATTTACAGCCTGACAATGAGATAAAAAAGAAAATCCTGCATGAGTTACCAGGAAACAAATGTTAATCTTCAAGACAATGGGGAAAATGTCTCCAGGGCATGTCAGCGGTCTTCACAGCAGCCCATCCCAGTAGAGCCCTAAAGGTCTAGCAGAAAAAAATTCTTATGGGAACCAAACCAAGGGCAATCCCAGCCTTAGCAGCCCTGGGACCTGAAGCCCTGCATCCCAGCAACTCCAGCAATGACTAAATGGGGTCAAGGTATATCTTGAGCTGTTGCTTCAGAGGGTGCAAACCCCAAGCCTTGGTAGCTTCCACGTGGTGTTTGGCCTGCGGGTGCATGGAATACAGGGATTGCAGTTTGGGAACCTCCACTTAGATTTCAGAGGATGTATGGAAATGCCTGGATGCCCAAGCAGAAGTTCGCTGCATGGGTGGGACCCTCAGGGAGAACCTCTGCTAGGGTAGTGTGGAAGGGAAATATGGGGTTTGAACCCTGCCACAGAGTCCCTACTAGGGAATGACCTAGCAGAGCTTCGAGAAGAGGGCCACCATCCTCCAGACCCCAGAATGATATATCCACCAACAGCTTGCATTCCATGCCTGGAAAAGCTGCAGATACTCATCACCAGCCTGTAAAAGCAGCTGTGAGGCAGGCTGTACCCTGCAAAGCCACAGGGCCAGAGCTACTCAAGACCATGGGAACCCACCTTTTGCATCAGCATGACCTGAGTTTGGGACATGAAATCAAAAGAGATCATTTTGAAGCTTTAAGAATTGACTACCCTGCTGGATTTTGGACTTGCATGGGGTCTGTAGCTCCTTTGTTGTGGCCCATTTCTCCCATGTGGAATGGCTGTATTTACCCGATACCTATACCCCCATCGTATCTAGGAAGTAACTAACTTGCTTTTAATTTTTACAGGCTCATAGGAGGAAGAGACTTGTCATGTTTCAGATGAGACTTTGAACTGTGGACTTTCGAGTTAACACTGAAGTGAGTTAAAACTTTAGGGGAACTGTTGGGAAGGCATGATTGGTTCTGAAATATGAGGACTTGAGATTTTGGAGGGGCCAGGGACATAATGATATGGTTTAGCTGTGTCCCCACCAAAATCTCATCTTGAATTCTGACACATTGTGGGAGGGACCCAGTGGGAGGTAATTTAACCATGGGGGCAGGTCTTTCCCTTGCTATGCTCATCATGGTAAATAAGTCTCACGAAAACTGATGGTTTTATAAGGGGACATTTCCCAGCACATGCTCTCTGTTTGCCTGCTGCCATCCATGTAAAAAATGACTTGCTCATCCTAGACCTCTGCCATGATTGTGAGGCCTCCCCAGCCATGTTGAACTGTGAGTTCATTAAACTTTTTATTCTGTATGAATTTCCCAGTCTCAGGTATGTCTTTATGAGCTGTGTGAAAACAAACTAATACACCCAGTATTAATACTAGTGCTTAGTAGTAATTTTTAGTTATTTTTCCTCATTCTCTTTGTCCTCCCACCCTCCAGCCTCCAAGAGGCCCTAGTGTGTGTTGTTTCCCTCTGTGTCCATGTGTTCTCATCATTTAGCTCCTACTTAAAAGTGAGAACATGTAGTATTTGGTTTTCCGTTCCTGTGTTAGTTTGCTGAGAATAATGGCCTCCAGCTCCATCTATGTCTCTGCAAAGGACATGATCTCATTCCTGTTTATGGCTACTTAGTAGTTCATGGTGTATGTGTCCCACCTGTCATAGCCTGGGAAGTTCTTGCGACTCCTATTCAGCCTCTGGATTCACCTTCAGTAGCTACTGAATGAGGTGAGTCCACCAGGTTCCAGGAAAGGGGCTTAACTGAGTAGTAGATATAAAGTATAATGGAAATCAGATATGCTATGCACACTCTCTGAAGGGTAGACTCACTGTATCCAGATACAATTTCGAGAACTTGCTATGAGAGTAAATGGCCGTGTATCACTGTATTTAAGAAACTAAGTGATGGGAAGTCAGTGTGAGACAAGACACAAAATTTCCTGCAGAGAGGTGAGGAGGCTGGGCTGAAGGGGAAACTCAGCACCTAAATGAGACAGGGGCAGCCCTGGGACAGGTGCAGATGGAGGTCAAGGATTGCTTTTCTTCAGGTCTG